TGCAAAAAGTGCAAGTGATTCAAAGAACGTCCAATTTCACCCTTCGGGCTTCTTTCTAGGCACCGGTATGCTAAGTTACTATGCTATCCTTTTGCGCGACATACGCCCTGTCGAGGATAATTAGACGAGAGTTCGCCTTGCCCAGAAAGTGTAACTTGTGCAGTGCTTTTTGTTCTTCGAAAAACAAATACGTCCCAAACGCATTGCACAGGCGGAATGTGTAGAGATCCTTTGCTAACAGCAACAACTTCTGGTCAGCAGGCGGCGGAGAGGAAACAAAACAACCCTCCACTTTTCCATCTAGAAGTTTCTCGTTCATTTCAGAAAAGTCATTGTCGACCTCAACGAAGAGAATGAACTCTTCATAGTCGTCGGTGGATTCGTATCTGACGGCCATACCTAAAACAGAAAAGCTATAGCAAAAACGCTGCTCTCTGCCAAAACGACGACAACCACGCGTCGCGACAAAGATGCTCACTGTTAACAGTGTACCTGCGTGACGGATCACTACCTAGTTCATGACCGTAAATTAATGAAGGCGGGGCGAATGCTCAGATGAGATCACCTTTAACATTGGTCAACGCACGGACAACTGAAAAGAGAGTATGCGTCGGGAACAATCATACCAGAGTATTTCCCTGTCCCAGTTGTCAGTGAATAATTGATACCTCGCCCATTTATCCGCTGCTAGTAAACCAACAAAGTGGGACCATTTCCTTCTATAAGGCTTGCGAGGATTGGACTGGAGAAACAAGCGTTTCCAATTTCTCGTTCAAGCCCATGACCGATGAAAAACTATTTAACCGCCAGTATGGGCCAAAAGCATAAATTTGGCTCCAGACGCCCCAACAGCTGCGGACCATACACAACTTACTGCAGAAGTCAACCCGGACTATCCTGAAGAAATCTAATGAGAAAAGAGCCGAAACGTCGTTACCGCTTAATCACTCGATTGACCAACTTATTTGTTTGCGTTGTGCATAAATATGTTGTTTTCGTACAGTTTTATGTTTTCAGTATGATCATCAACGTGCGAACAGATTACTCAATCTTAAGAATCATTAAATAACTAACGATCCTTCAAGAACAAATTTCACGGCGAATGGCACCGCTCCCTTTCTCCTACTTGTCTAGTTCCATAGAATTTGAGCACCTGCAGTTCCAGACGCATTTCGCATCATTTGTCAGGTACAGCCACCTCGAACTCATAATGAACCAGTTTCAGGAGTTGGAACTTCTCACATGCTCCACATAAACATCATACGGTTGTTGGTACGCAAGAGTATGTCAAATAACGAATTATTTCACCAGGACCTGATCTTATGGCGTACTGCATCTTCTCCATGGTCACAGTTGCGTAGAGGAATCCGATATGGTCCTGAGGAGTCAGTCCTGGACGGTCATTTTCACTGGACATAATCTGACGTACGAACAACTTATGATGTTCACATAAGAAGAATCAGTCACATTTCATCGATATTATCGCGTTTACGGGCTGCTACATATAGTTAGTACTACTCGAACAACACAGTAACAAACTTACACACAACAGCATTGTAATTTATCTGATATATAGCACGAAGAAGATAAAGTGCCAAAAAGTATTTCGAACAGGGGGATAACACACAATGTACCAAATCTGTTCCTAGGAGTAAAAACAACCAAACCATACGAGAGTCAGCATAAGAAATATTACCTTCGATGAAACAAGAAACTGCAGAAGCTCAGCGGGCAGCACCCAGAACCATATACTGGTGGTTTTCAACTTCTCTTCGAGCGTTTGTTCAGTTTGGGGTAGCTAATACTCTCTAAGGCCAAGAAGCATGCACCTAATTCGAAGTATACTTTGAAACTAAACAAACAGTCACTGATGATAAAACAAATTCATTCCAAATTTTGAAACCTACTGCAGTTAAACACAGGAAATTTGCATCACTTATGACTGAGTCAGATATGCAATAAGCAGATACTGTCGTTTAGATGTATGGCTGTGATCTGCAGGAATATTAGTAAACGGCAATACACTAATACCCCTTTATCAAAATTTCCGTAACCACTTGGCAACAAACCTGCACAAAAATTTCAGCGAGTAAAAGTTGTCTGTTTCTCTATCATTATACGGCTTTTTGTTCTCGAACACAGAAACGTAACTACTGAGAGCCGTGCTTTAAATTTAATGGACAGCAGCGGTCGACACTGAAGCGCGCTTGGTAGCAAAAAGTGAAGGTGTACGTGCTCAACGGAATGGATGGATGTTGTCCATTTTGTACAAGGAAGTAAACTACACAATCCATTGTAAGCTTCTGCTGTGATATTTTGCTGCTCTGTGATATGCATATGTAAACATTTCATTCATTCATAGCATGATTTATTCAGTCAGTTGGCCATCGTCGTTTCTGCATACCATCGCTTATATTTCGAATGATTTATCCGTCCTCCTGTAACAAAATGACGGCTTTCTTTAATACACCGGTGTTGTCGCTGACTTGTGCCTGACAGGGCAAAGTGAATAAAGTGAATGGATGGAGAAGCTTTCGTATTAACCCGCTTTATCGGAATAATTCACGAGAGTCTCTACTTAAAAAGGAATGGCTAAAGCATGAATAAAAATTTGAGACTCCGAGAAACTTGACAAGCATACCAAGCATACAACTACAACAGCGTCTGAAACGAACTATTCACGTATTTCAGTTCATTCAAAACTGGAGAAACGGGACGAAAGAAAGAATTTTCAAGAAAATGAGTCTACCACTAAGCATTTTCTGTTTCAAAGGTCCCTACTGCACTACGTTATCGCAGACAAACTTAAACATTATTGGGCTTTCCCTAAAAATAATTTTTCTACTGTAGAAGTACAGTACAGACACTTTGGAATGCCGAAGCCTGTTAGCGTCAAATCGCATTTAAGGAATTAAAGTTTCAAACGTGCATGTTTATGCACCGTTCTCTTAGCAATTCCGTCAAAACTAAATGCAGAAGGGCTATGTGGAAAAAAAAACTGTCGTAATATAATTGTTAAACGACAGCCATGCGATGTTCAAATAAACATAAATTCTTTTATGCGCAGTGAAACGATTGTATCGCCAACAATTGAATCTACATTTCAAGTAAACCGACAATCTCACATTTTCGCTCTAGCGTTCTCGATGTATTCTTTCAACACCTTCACCTTCCTCCTCCATAGCCGCTTATCAAATCAAGGCACACGCGTCAAACAGTGCTTCTAACTTTCCCAATCCAGAATCTGACCTTCGGCGAAAGACTCCTTCCACATATGCGCAGAAGGTTAATCTTCGCCATCCCCTGGGCATTCGACCGGTCGCCTCAGCAAGAAATAATTGCTTCGTTAACATTTTTCCAGGCATTCGCACTACTCGCCAAACCATCATAGTGTGGCAGGAGCGCTCGTGCACTAAGGCACTCCAGGATTTTCGTACTTCAGACCATTTGAAATGCTTATGGTCAGCAACTCGTCTCATGAAAGCACATTTCAGCTGTTTGTAGCCGGGATAGAAGTTTTTCCCTCGTGATCAGCGACTTATGACCGTAGGAACATCGGTATCAGGGTCGACTTGATCACCAAGATGTAAGTCTTTGGAATGCACTCTACTTTAGTTCGGGCTAGATCACGCAGAACGCCACTGGCTAAACAAATCTGCCGGAAGGTAGGTTTTCCATCTCCAGTAAACCTGCCTATAACGTCTTTTACCAGCTCTTTTCCAGACTTGCTCTTCATCTCACCCTTTCTCATAATACATATTCTCTTTTCTACCAGCTCCTTCGCTGTTCGTCTAAAGAGACAATCGCGCAGGAAAGCAAGAATGCACTAGGCTTTTCGTTTTAGATGCCTTCACACGCATGCTGGTCACGTCGCACTCGGCTGCCAACCTTTCTAGAGAGCACTGTAGATCAGTTTCAATGGATTATAATAAAACAAGGTCATCTGCAAGCAGCAACCTTCTCGTCTCGACATTTCTTACACTGATGCAGCAATTGTCATCGCTGCGCCTAACTATTCTGTCCAGGCACAACATAAAAAGGAGATGGACCAGAATGCAGCCTTGGTAAAGATTAGTTCCAAGGCTGAAGGGTTTCAACTTAACGCCATTTATTGTGACGCAGCACCTGTAATTATCATGCAGTGATTGAATGCCCGAAGCAGCTGGCGATCGATCCAATATGTTCGCAGGTGTGTCCATAAATTGATGCACGGAATCCGGTCAAAAGCTTTCTCTAGGTCAATAAGGCACTAGTATACCGAATATACAAATTCTAACAATTTTTCAGCAATCTGGAGTAAGGCGAATATCTCGTCAGATGTACTTCGTGCTGGCCTAAACATACGCTGCTCTTCTTGTATTTTGCAGTCAGTTATTCCGTGGCACCTCCTTTGTAACATTTTGGCGTAGACTTTAGCAAGGAGGCTCAGTAAGATATTGCCTCGATAATTAAACACTACTGTGATACTCCGTCTGGCACATGGGTAAAACAACCGGCGTTCTCCAGTCTGTTTGTGTCTTCCACATAGACATTGCAGTTTGATAGACGTTTAAACCAGCGTATGCCTTGTTCGTCTAAAGCTTTGAGAATTTCAGGGCGGATTTCGTCAATTCCAGCGGCCTTTCCGCATTTCAGGGTTTATCACAACTTGTGCGATTTCATAACATACAGAAATAGTAATATCATTTTCGTGTTCGCCTAGAGGCAAGTCTTTCTGCGATCGCTCGAGGAAAAGAGGTTCCTTTAGGTACTTTCGCCTTATGCGAAAAATATCTTCATCTTAATTAAGATGGTGCCCAGACCTGCCCTTCAAGATTCTTTGACTGTCCTACTTTTCACCTTGGAGCCGAGGGAGATAGTTCGCAAGAAAACAATATTCGCTTCTTGGAATTCGTCTTCAACACCTTACGAACCTTCTTCCATGAGTTACGTTTGGCTTTCGCGGCTACTTTGGCCTCCCTTTCGTGCGCAATTACAAATCTTTTGTGAGATGAATTCTCTTTGTTTCCAAGCCGTTTCTTGAATGCAGCCTTGTTCGCTTTAACTGTCTCTGTTATTTTCACCTCCACTAAGAAGTTCCTTTCTGACTTCCAGGCGACAGGCCACCCCGTTTGAACCGCAGCGTTCGGCGGCAGCTTAGAATATGACGTTCTTAAAGAGCTGCCACTTGATTTCGTCATCAGGGATCTGTTTAAACTATCGTGCGATGTTGTTTGCCAGGTTCGCCACGGTGTCTGCCTGAGATAATGTTTTCCCTTTGATTTTTTGGCTGCATCTGCCACCAAATCGACGTATGTTTATCAATTTCTCACACTGTAACATGGCAACAGCAGAGTGATGATTGGAGACGGCATTTCGTTTCCTTTAACGCAAACATTCATTATGGAGCGCCATAAG